TATATATATATATATATATCTTAATTGTGATTATAATGGTAAGGATAAATTATTTATGTAGGGGTATGCTCCAGTACCAACATCGGTTTTCATATTGAAATGTATTTATCAGTTCACTGAGAGCCTCTGCAATTGTGCAGTGTGGGTAGTAATTACAGCTAACTGTTGAATGCAGTTGACATTCAAGGTTTAAAGCTACATATGACATCAGTGATAACCAGAAGAGTTCATTACTACACAGAGAACACAATTTTTTTTCCACTTTCCTCTGTCTTACCTTCTTACCTCTATTCAGAGGCTTAAGAAAAAAATAACATATATGTTAAAAATATGAAATGACTTTATGACTTATTACTTCTGCTTAACTTTACAGTCAAGAAAAGGCTATGGAAATACTGTGATTGAAATCAACACACCGAAAATTGATCAAGTACCTATCGTTGATGTGATGATCAATGACTTTGGTGACCAGAGTCAGAAGTTTGGATTTGAAGTTGGTCCTGTTTGTTTCCTTGGCTAAGATTAGGACAAAGAATATATGAAATCGACAGAAAATACACCTTGGTGCCACCAATCCATTTTATGCCACATGCAAGTTTTGAATAAGGATGGTATAGAAAACAACTTGCTACGTATACATTTACCAATTAAGAAATACCGATGCCCGTGAGGGGGCAGAATCACATGACAAAAGCTTTGGAAATCATAAAATTATAAGACAGTGTGGCTGAGATGGAAACAGGCCTTATTCTTGACTCCCAATTTTCGTCTCTCCTCCTCCTATTTGGATTTCTTTGGTGCTGTAGGAAAAAAAAAAAGAGAAAAATATATATTCATAAAAGATATGGTGCTCACTCCCATCCATCATGGATGTGCTAAAACAGTGTGTTTGATAAATTGTAATTATTTTATGTACAGTTCTATACTGTTATCTATGTGTCCATTTCCAAAACTTGCACGTGTCTCTGAATTCCATCTGACTCTAATTTTATGACAATTGCAGAACTATGATGGCAATAAATATATGTATTATGAAAAAATAAAGTTGTAATTTCTGATGACTCATTCCCTTTCTTTGACGAATAATAAAATGCCTTTGTATATATTGATGTTGAAGAGTTCAATTATTTGATGTCGCCAACAAATTTCTTAGAGGGCAAAAACCTGGAAGACTTTTGGAAGCACACTCCGATCAGTTCTTCTCTACTGACCGTAACTTTGCTGAATTTCAGCCAAAAGCATCATGCATTATCTTGATGCTTTATTCAATGCTATACCTCAGCCTTTTTCTTTTCAGAGTCTAGGATTTCACAGGATACTTGTATATATGGAAAATAAACAAGCTTATATTTTTTGGACAGGAAATGTGTATGAGAGGCTAACTTAACAAATTCATGTCTCCATCAAGCAATTAATCAGATGTACAATTTTTTTACTACCTTATCTCATCTCATTGTTTTCAGTGTGCTTCAACCATTCAGATTACTATTAAAAGGTGGAAACTAAGCAATTATTTATGAATTTGTTTAATGTTATATTTTTAATCAGTCAACTTCTTGAATCTGATTCTAAGTTGCGTATTATAAAAGTCTCCAAATACTATTTTACCTGCACCTACCCAACAAGTATCATTTCTTTTCTTTCAAGACAATACACATTATCTGACCTACCTAACTGCTAAATAACATGTGGGTGAACTGTTACTAACAGTGCTTGTTTTAAAAGTCATACTTACTAAAAACAATCAGAACTTTTTTTTTTCCACTAAGGCCTTTTCTTTCAGGTAGCTTGAAATAGCAGTAAAATTTAAAAATTAAAAATTGAACTTTGTAACTATTTAAATAATATATGTAAGACTTGAAAATAAATGTTTTATTATTTCTTATATGAAGTGTTAAATTAATTGGTACCAGATTTCACTGGAACATTTTCAACTGATAATTTATCACAAAAGACCATACCTGTAATATTGAAATTAAAACGTGAACATTTGTCATTCAGAAGTTCTTTTATTTTTGAAATCAAGTTTGTAAATGTCCTTTCAAGAAGGGAGATATGAATCGTATAAATAAACTCAAGTCTTGTCTACCTGGATTGGTCATTCTCTTTCTTAAATAGGTTTTAAATTACTCTCTGTTGTGGAAAAGGCTTTCAATTCTGTTTCTTGACCATCCAGATTAGAATAGTTTTACACTTCTGGAAAAGAATAGTACTCTTTAGAGATTAGTTGTTTAAATTCTCCACATGTCTAAAATAAAAACACCACACGGTAATACCCTAACAAAATAGAGATTGGTTATATATAAAATTTCCAAAAAAGTTTTCATAATTAAACATTTTACAAAGCCTCAAACATATGTTCGTAGTTTCAGCATTAGAAAACTTTTCAGAACTATTTGAAATAGTCTGTAAATCATACCTAGAGTAATACTGTTTATCAAGAGGAATTCCATACATCAGACAATGAATGAATGCATAGCAATGAGGAACTATTTCGCATATTGACCTGCATTGGGAAGCTGCATTATTTGTCCATTTAAGCAAAATGGCTTCAAATTTGGCACTCAGTAGAATGAATGAATAAATAACTAAAACACCTACCCTCTCATATTCCTTTCATGTATGGATATGGTCTTCTGCGTAGTATCGAATTTTTTTCCTCTCTCTTATAATTGATTTAATCTGGACAAAAGGAAGCTCGATGCAATGGGAGAAGCGTATCATCTGACATTCTATTCCTGGCCCAGCGTGTGTAAGTCATTCACATGTAAACTGGAGAACGATATGGACCTCGTAGGCAAGGGTAGGTCCTGGGCCTGATGCACATAAAAGTTGGTATAATTCCCTTTAAGAAAAATAATACACAATTACAAATAACAAATACAAAAGATACTATTTAGAATGAGGAAATATGTTACAACAAATTGTTAATTTTAAAAAATGGACCCATACTTAAAGTACCAGACCATCCAAAGAAATACCAATGTTTTTATTAATTCTCTGAAGTAACACTTTTCTCCTATGTATTTGGTCTTAGATGGTGCCTATGAAAGAGAATTATGAAGTTTAAGCTTTATTCGTTCCAAGTACTTACTGTGTGCTGGATAACTACCAAATACATGAGTTAATTAAGGGCCTAGCACACTGAGGCACACCAAGAGCTAAATAAGTCATTTTTCTTGCTCCAGATTTCCTACTTCTACTGTCATCACCATAGCATTAGTTCCTTTCTAAAATGTAGCTAATAATGTGTGCCACCTACTCTGCAGACCTTTATAAAGATTTCATTTTTAAAAAGTAAAACATTACAATCTATTGCATCACAGAGGTCTAAATCAGTAAACAGACTCACATAAAATACAGGCTTTACAACGGTTCACAAAGGCTATGAAAAAAGAGCAACAGTGTATACCAGGTGAATATCCAAGAACCCCAAAGTCATCACACAGAGCTTCTCAGGACCCCTTTACCAGGATGTATATTGCTCTCAAGAAGGATGGGTTTCGTACGTTTTAGGGTCTCTCAAATTTTATATTTTGCTATTCTCATGTCTCTGTGGTGGTCATATAACTAGTAATTCTTCACTGCAGCTGCAGCCCAGCTATCCAGAGACTGCAGAATCATTCACAATTTGAAATCTTTCAGACTATATCCTGCTAAAAGCATTGCAAGTTCAGTTATCAGGACACAGTCAACCCCCGCAGGATCCTCATTTATCTTCTATCTAGTAAGTACATTGCTCAGTGTTTATAAGGAGATTGGTCAGGGGCAAAACAGAAGGAGAGAAGAGTTACAGATACAGTGTTAACTCCTTCCTTCCAAAAATACAAATTGAAATAATTTCAGAAATGTTTCATGTTACAGTAACTAGAACTTATTTTGTAATAACTTTGTAATGACATTTCTCCCTGTAATACTGTCTACATGAAGCTGATGTACACAAATACACTGGTTTCTATTTTTAAACTACCTTTACAGGTCTGTAAAGAAATACAGTAGGCCTTCTTTCCATTATGGAAATAATCGCCTTTTGTCAAAACTGTAGAGCAAATCCTATGCCCCAGCAGCAAATCTTATTTCACTGACAACTTGGGGCAAAAGTAAGCTAACGCGTCTACCAGCCTACTCCCCATCACATTAGCGTCTCTGGTATAAATCAGTTTGCCTGCTTTTTTTTGGCTCCCTGAGGAAAACGAGTATTTCTAAGGCATAAAGAAACCTTGCCCTGAAATGACATGCATCTGTGTGCTCAACCCTGTGAGAAATGGCTAGATGGAATCAAACAGAACAAGTAAGTCCTCTAAGAAAGGAAGTGATTTGCAGATCCCTCAGCTCAACATGGTGGAAAGTTCTGTGTAACCAGCTACTTAATAACACGGGTTTTGGCATCTTGTCCATTTCAGGAGAATAAAATTACTGAGTAAAAATTGCTATCATAGCTACCTATTTATAAGGTAAAATATATTTTAAGAACACTAAGAGGGAAGGGTGTAGCTCAATGTGTAGAGCATGTGCTTAGCATGTACAAGATCCTGGGTTCAATCCCCAGCACCTCCTCTAAAATAAAAAGTAAATAAATGTAGTTACTGCCTTCCCCCCACCAAAAAAAAAAAACCTAAAAATTTTTAAAAAGAACACCAAATTATATTTTTATGTAAGTTTCCTTCATTACAGAGAAACAGAATTCACTTCCTAGTTAATATTATTACCTGGTTATTTCTTCATAGTTGTAGAGATTTTTACATCAATCCTGAGAGAAGAGTGGAAAAAGAGAGACAATGATAATAAGAACATTAGAGAACCGCTAAAGGTATTAACTAATTAAAAGTGGAAAGTGACATGACAAGGTAAATAAAGCTTTTATTTTAGATATTTGGTGAAATAGTTAAAAGCCTCATTAGAAGTTTTTTTGTCTCCTGTGTGGGAGGCCTCCCTCACCACTGGGCCCTCCCTGTCCCTCCACCCTCCTGCCCTCTTCCTCAAAGGGAGGCGGGAGAGGAAAGGGGGCAGCTGCAATGGGGGCAAAATTTTGAAGTAAATGTTTTCTAAAGGTGGAAGCAAGTTGTGCTGAGACACTGAACCATGGACATCAATGCCAGAAAACTTGATGATCATTTAATTATTAGTTAACCAATGGCCAAGGATATGATTCAGTTCCATGAGGAGGACAGGCTTCCAACAAAAAAATAAAATAAAATAAATTCAACTTTACAGAATAATGATGTCAGAAAGTGTCTGCGCTACATCCTTATTCACAGATTAAGAGAAGAGATAAAACCGTCACTTCTTAAAAAAAACTAGTTTATTATCAAGGTTCTGATTATACAGGTATTTGGAGAACTAAAAGAACAATTGATGCTGGTTTGTGAGTTTGCTTCATGAAGAAGATGGCAGGTCTGCAAGTATCTGGAGTTGGATGGATGTTATGGAGGAGAGACGGAAGAGCACTTTAAGGAGGAAACCCAGGGGAGAATTCCAGAGGCACACGTGGGTGTGGCACCTGAAGAGGAGGAGGGGTCTGATTAAGCCCCAGTCATGAGAGGGCGGTGGCCAGGTGTAAGGCCAAGGCCTGTGTTTAGGATTGGGTTGTAATGGCTTAAACATCATGCACAAGAGTCAGGATATGATGCAGTAAATGGTTAAAAATGAATGTTAGCTCTTGAGCAAGACAGTCACAATGACAGTCATGTTTAGAATGACTGTTTTGGCAGTTTTGTCCGAACCCACCTAGTAAGCATTCTATGCTGGATGGATCTATGAGATGAGTCAGATAATGGGGACTAAGTGTCATGAGACTGTTTTTGAACTTAAGTGAGTGGTAACACAGATCTGGATTACAGAAATTATACCTGCATGATTTAAGAGGAAGGGACAGGTATAAAATAATTTGAAAGAAGAAATGACTAAATTTTACATTTAAAATATTTCAGAGACTTTTTATTGGCTACATCTACAAATAAGTTACAGTTGCCTAGCCTTCAAGAGCATGTATCATAAAATAATAGAAAGGGAACCTTGTCTCTACAAAAATCTGAAGAGCCAACAGGTCTTCGTAAAATGTAGGACACCTAGCCAACTGTATCAACTGGCTTTGCATCTCCCATTGTATCTCATATATTACTGTCGGGATCACATGTGAAAATAATTTTTGATTGTTTAAACAATACATGCTTAAAACTTTATGGACAAGCACCTGTCTCCTATCTAAATAAAAGTTCATGTACATTATCAGCCATACACTTACAGAAAGAAAAATTAACTGCCAAAACTTAGTTATTATAACTTTGTCTGCTGACGTTGAAACTTTCATAAGTAAAAATTGGGACACAAGGAATAAGTAAATACATGGGAAGTCTTGGAAATAATTATTTATCATTAATATGAAAAAAATTTAGCTGCCTATAAAAAGATCAGAGCATTGTAGGCACTCAATATATATTTAAATAAACAAATAAGCAAATGGAGAAACCATATTTAGATACCCTTTATTGTCTGCCCATCAAACTTTCTATA